GAGTGGTGCCTCTGGCTGCAGCCGGGGAAAAGCGATGAGACACGAGCAGAGGTTTCCTTCAGATTGCTCCTTCCATCTGCAGATGAGGTGTCCGGTCAGCATAAATGCGCAAAATACCTCAGGCTCTTTGCGTGGATTCAGCTTGGGGGATCCCCAACTGTGCTATCTGGGGCTCTAATCCTAGCACACTAGCTGTGGTGTAGGAGAGGGTTACAGCCCCAGAGGTCACAATCTCATTGTATTAAAAAGGAGCAGGGAGAAGGAGGAGTATTGATGTGGAGCTTTGTGGGGAGAGAGGAATTGCCCACAGTCCTGCAGAAAGTGTGGATGAAGCTGGATGCAGCGCTTGTGCTCTCCAGCCGCATGCACTGCAGAGCAGAGCTTGCTGTTCCTGAAGACCAACTTTCATCATGCTGTTCTGCAAGAAGCTGCCAGCCAGATAGCCAACAGTAGCAGTGTCCACAGCCCAAAGTCTTGTTTATTAATAATTTTGCTGAAATGTATGTTTCTAAATCTACCTTAGCACACAATGCTCAGTAAATTATTAGTACCATTTAAATCTCCACATTTCTTTTCCCCACAGGCTCTTTGTGAGGCAGAACTTGTGTCTCGTGACGTGCTCATGCAGGGCTTAGCACAGGGCAGAGCAGATCAAGGCTGAAACCTCCAAATGCTACTTTTTACAAATAAATAACAGTAATACAACATGGAATATATTTCTAAGGCTCCATCATGTGCACTGAAGAAACCTTTGAGTCCTACAATCCTGACATAAGTTCCTGGACATAACTTCCTCTCACACATGCGTAGTTAGCTCTGCCATCCCCACCATCCATGTCTCACAGGGTTGTGGTATTCAGCCCGTTGGCCAGTAAAACCCTGCAGCACTCGGGTGCTCTGTAGCTCTTGTGTTGTAGCCCTCTGTGCAGACCATGATAACTTCGTAATGTTGTATCGGCCACGCAAAGACGTTGATACATGTGTCACCCTCATTGTCAATGTCTTCCTTTGCACCAAGTTTTTGCTTTGCTTGTAGCTATCTACTGTGTTAGCTTCATTTTCTCAGTTTCTGAACAGTGCAAAGTAATGAAGTAAACTAAACGCACTTTTCTTACTTGGTTTCTCCTCCAGATCTAGTTGGCTGTAGACAGACAATGCTCCCAAAGACTGTATAATTCCTGGTGGCCAAAAGACGAGGCGCATCAGGGTCTGCACAGAAGAGGAACAAGGACAGGAAGGCGAGAACTTCCTACTACCCCTCTGGCAGAGGTACCAAGTGCGTGGCCTACCTGCAACACGAGCAAAGTGCTAGTTTTCAGAACGCGAGACCGAGAGCCACCTGGAGGCACTTGGAGCACAGGAGGAAGAGGGGCGGCACCAGCATGGATAAGGACAGCACAAACCTAGCTGACCAGCAGTATGAATGTGTGGCTGAGATTGGGGAAGGAGCCTACGGGAAGGTGTTCAAAGCCCGAGACTTGAAGAACGGAGGTCGCTTTGTTGCACTGAAGCGGGTACGGGTGCAGACCAGCGAGGAGGGGATGCCACTGTCCACCATCCGAGAAGTGGCAGTTTTGAGGCACCTGGAGACGTTTGAGCACCCCAATGTGGTCAGGTGAGGAAGTGGGGCAGGTCAGTGGGGTCCTGGTTTTAATACATGAATGGGGCAAGCAAGACTTCAGGTGCATAAATGGACAGGACACTAGTTTGTGGATGAAGTGAGCACTAAACTGTGTACATGAAGTGTGGTTTGAGGTTTCGGTAGGCCATGATGCTGCCTGCCAGATCCCACCTCATCCCTGTGCATTACCTCCCACACACACAAACACCCATCTCCAGAGGCATAGGTGTGTGACTTAAGTGTTAGAGTGGATGGGCAAGGAGCCATAGATACAGTTTCCTCAGGTGTAAGAGAGAATGAAAAAAACCTGTCTCCCTGTTTTGTCTCAAGTGTTAGTTCTGCCAGCTGTAGCTCATTTTTAGCAACTCTATTCATTATCAAAATGGCAGATTATGAGTGGTAGTGGAAGGTGCATTGCACCTTCTTAGATGCTTTTATAGGGAGTTGTAGATAATTGTGTTAAAGAGAAGTAACAACATCAGACTTTCAGCTTTGCAGGCAACCTTACAGTTGGGTACTGTTTGCTACTAATTTCACCATGTACTGATGATTGTGCTACCAAGAGTGTCAGGCCATGCTTGCAAAATGGTGACAATAGCCTCAGAATGTCCTTTCAGTCATGTCAGTAGCATAAACCCTGGATAAGTGACCTGTGTTCTTGAGCAGGTCAATGATAAGGCTCACTCTGCTGTAACCCCTTACATTTTTCTGTAGCTGGAAGCCTCCAGCAGCCTGTGAGTGTCTTCTATTAGTATTACGAACTTCAAGAAGTAAGCTTCATTTTGAGGATACTCAGGTATGCAATGATCTGAAACTGGTCGGTGTTTTGCTGCTGATGCTGTGTTAACAAGAATATTTCCTGCTATTTGCATTATTATATGTACATATTACATAGCAAAAGGAAAATATTTTATACTTCACTGACACCAATACACCAATTTCAGTCCTAGAGAAACTCTGAAGTTAGAGGTGAACTTCAAAATGGGTTGTAGTTGTGATCTTCCTGTTTTAGAGTCTAAGATGAGGGGGTTTATAATAGGTGCAAGAGGAAAGGTGAGACAGAGAATAACATTTAAAATAAAAATGTACATAGCTTGAGAGAAATTAATTTTTGTTCATCTCAAGGCAGCATAATACAACAGTCTCATTGCTGTCTCAACTGAACAGGCAAAGCATGTGTATTCTGAATTACTGATAATGGAGTGCATGTCATCGGTCTCACTGCAGTTAGCAATGGGATGCAGGCAGTAGCTCACATTTTTCAATTGCCAATCAAGGAAATCCACAGTTTGGTTAATAACCATTATTTTGACTGTACCCTAATAACTGCAGAGGCTTAGTCAATAAATTTAGAAAGTAGAGCATCTTTTGTGTGGACAACACATTATATTTGATCACCAAATCAGGTAGGTTGGTTTGCAGAAGACCGCAGATTAAGTTCTTCTTTGGCAGTAGAGAAATAATTAAGAGTTCTCAAAATCAGTGAAATCCAGCCCAATAATTTATGAGCAATTACTTGTCCAGATTTAAACATTTACATATTTGAAAATTGTAAACCTTGTTTGGGAATAATTCAACGCAGCGATACTTAAAAATTTTTCTGCCATTGCCATCTTTCCATATGAAGTAAGAGTTTTTGGTTTTGTTTTTTTTTTTTTTTTTTTAAAGAGCTTTCTAATCCTGAATTCAGCAAAATCATAGAAATAAAATTCTTGTTTTCTAAAGAGCTATTTGATGAGCTGGCTAGGCAGCTGCAGGCTTGTTTTGCTTGGGTTTAAGTGCAGTGCAATCTCAACATAGTGTTTTATAAACACACTGAAGCTAAAAGTATTTTTACAAGTTTGAATGAAAATTCATTCTCTGCAAGCAGTATTTCAACCAGCAGTATGAGAATGAATGTGTGTTCCAGATACTCAGAGTGGTGTTGTCAAGCCTGTGCCTTTTGCCATAAGCAGCATTTCAGATGAAAGGGGTTGGTCTTTGATGTATCAATATGCCTGGAACCTCAACTGCATGCCTTTTTCCACAAACAGACAGGGGAATATAAGAAGCATTTTCAAACATTATCTCTTCTAAAATGTGAGGAATGCTATTTAAAAACTCCCCTCTGTTGTGCATGTTTTTAATCGTAGAGCAGATGAAGCTGTAAGTAGCACTTTGGAGTGACTCAGATCATATCCTTATAATGAAAGATTATTTGAAAATGTTTAACTACCCCAGTTCTGTTACAAAATGCAGTAGAAGAGTTTGTGATTTATTGAAATTAAAGGTCTATTTTTGTATTATGTAAATATACTCAGAAAAGGAAATACTGTAAAGGAAGGTCTGCAGTTTTATGCAGCTGCCCTAGCCGTACTGAATTATTGAACATACTATGCTCATAAAATTGTTCATTGTTTGGGCATGCATTCTGGCAACTGGTATGGCCAGGCTACTAAATGAAAATCATGACAAATGCATTGTCTAGATACTGCATGAAAATGTACATCATTTTCAGAGCATTGAGATAAGAACACAAATATTTAAAGTAATTTTTATTTTTTTATTTTGAGGGGACATCTAACTTTTTTTTTAACATTACAGGCAGCTAGCCTGAGAGAAATAAGTGAACACTGCAAATATAACTTTGAATCTGTTAGCTCCAAGTAATGTCATGTGTGATCCATGAGTTGCTGAATGCAAACCAACAGTCATTCTGTGAGTCAAAATTTAGGCAGACTTCAAACAGATGAGCTGCATATGCCCTGTGCTCAGCTCAGCTCTGGTGCCCTGAATCAGCTGACAGCAACAGCAGAAATCACAAGCCACATGAACTTATGCTCAGTGTCATGCTGAATTCAAATGGTAGGCCTGGGCATCTCCAGAGAGTACAGTAAAGAGCTCCACAGTCCAGGGCTTCTCTGTCTCCACGAAGTGGAGCTGAATGATAAGAACATTTTGGTAAGGAAATGACCCAGTACTTGCTAGGCAGAGGTAGAGCTCCATGGCTTTGTTGGTCACAGAGCTAGGATGCGGGGCCAGCATCCCCACTGCAGCCCAGGTTTGTCATGGCAGTTATTGATTCCATTCTAAAATCTTGAGAAACACTTACAGTCAAAGCTGGTTTCCAGTGCTTGGCGCTGGGGATGGAAGAGAATCTTTTGCATAAAGTAGAAATGTCTAAATTTTAAACAACATATTTATCCTATTTTTTTCCGTGCTACTTCTTGCTACTTATGAGAGCTTTTTTTTGTGTTCCTTGTCTCTAAGACTGCTCCCATGTCCATACAATAAAGAGTTACATTTTTTGCCACACCTTTCCTTTTACAATGACAGATAATGAAGTTAGGTAAGACTTCACTGCAGAATGCATCAAAATGAGGTGTAAGCTAAGAAGTGAAAAGAAGTCTAATCTTCACTAGTAAAGTAATGGTAGTGAAAGTCTTTGGACTGTTGATTGTAATGGAAATATGGCCCGGAGGACTGCTGTAAAATTTTTTTAAGACTCTCAGAAACAATATAGAGAAAGGCAGGGGGGGAATGCGACTAAAAGGTTGTTAGCTATGTGCTTAAAATCCTCTCCTGTTCATATTTGCCCTTGTATAGAGTTCGCTTCTCTAAGGACATCTTACTCTATTCTGTTTATCTTCACAAAACAAAGTAAATAAATAGAATCAAGAGTAAGTCTTACTCTGATTTGTTCTAAAATGAGATGTCTTGAAGGCTTTGAAATGTTGTTTGTAACTGGTGAGATGATTAAGGTGCTCCTCTAGCTCACTTTTCAGATAATAAGATGTAATGCTTTACTGGAGCTGTACTATATACAGTAGTTGAATCTTGCAAAAGTTGGTCCAGCACTTACATAGCCTAGTGCTGTTCTGTTTGGGAAAAATAAAATATATGTAGACAAAGAAAAGATTGGCAGGAATAAATGACATATTAGATTCAGGAAATTCCTGTGTGTAAAACTGCAGAGTATTCCCTGCTGCAATATATCTGTAAAAATTCTTGTGATTATAATGCTAAATTCAGCAATATATTGTGTTTATTTCATCTCTCTCCTGCTGGTAATCAGATGAATAATTTTCCCCTAATGTTAATCATCCATCAAACCATGAATTTGCACTCTGGGAAGGTGATACACAAGACAGAATACTGCAATTCTTGCTGTACTTGTTTTCTAACATAGATATATTTAACAGTTTTAATAGTGTTAAGCCTCAAGCAAAGAGAGCAAACCTGCAAAATGGTGTATTTTTGCTTCTTGGCTCATAGTTTTTTGATAAATACAACCTTTTTAGTATTTTCATACATTAGCCTTCAATTTTAAAATAGCCAAAATGATATTGGATATAATCTATTAAAGTATAATCTAATCTGGGTTATTATTTCAAAGATAAGTGTCTGAAATCTCACCATTCAAGATGATCAGTACCACATAATAAGCAATTTCAAATTTTGGTTCTCTCCTTCCTGTTGACTTGCAGAATAGGTGCCTCAGCTAACTGACTTCATTTCAACATAATGATCCACCTAGCTTGAAGTGTAACTGTATTCCTCTGTCCTTTTGGTATACTGATCAGCGTGGGGGAAGGCCAGTAATTATGGGTATTTACACATTTATGCAAGGTTTTATGTTCAAGGTTTTATGTTCTTTTATATCCATTGAAAGACAAAAGACACTGTAAACTGCCCTCCATGGCACAGCAGTACTCTCATGTTGCTTCTTCCTCTGCTTTTGCAGTCCAGTGGTCTATCCTGATAGCTCTTGATTACATGATACTTTACTTGATGGAGCCCATCAACTCATTCCCTTGGGAAGGCAACCTCAGCGTGGGGGGAAGAGGCTGAGGCACACATGGCTTCTCCTTCCCCATGTACCCTGACATAAAGACCAGCACTTGACTCTGCTCAAAGGTTCTAGAAGCGTATAATGGCTTGGTGCTTAAAAAGATGTTGTACTTAGAAGATGTCGTTTTATATATAGCTTAAAATTCCCTCTCTAACCTGATAGA